CAACAATAGTAAAAAAAAAAAAAAGAGAATTGCAGGTAAATTGTATAATTTTTATCATAATACTTTAGTACTACACGTCTTGATAATATACTAGCTAGGCTGTTTGATAATAAGATAAAATAATATAGATAGGTGTATAATTTATAACATACGCAAGCATTTTTATTGAAGAAGTATAATCCATCTGTCTAATGCTACGCCGGCTTACACAAAAAATTGTGTCACAATTCTAATAGTTACAAACCCAAACGGAATGGGGACCGTAACAACCCAACGGAATGGTTTCGTAACGGGATCGTAACATCTCCCCTTAGAAAGGTAGGGGGCAAGTCACCACTATCATACATAACTCCACAATTGGTGTTATCAAACATTTCGTACAAGGAGAAAATTCCAATCAAACCCAATAACAGAAGGTTTACAAACAAACAAGCAAAACTATTCACAAATGACAAACCCCATCATATTCATTTATCATCATTCATCACACATACTATACCCACACCACCACAAAACTAAACCTACCCTACAACAACTGCACTTCACACATTTCTCTCCTTAATTTTCACAGGCAAACCGCCCTTAATCCTCAGTGTCAATGACAGCAAATACTCAGGGCACTTGCCCTTTTCCAACAACACATCTATCTTGAACCTCTCCAAAACACACGCCGCAATCGATTTCATCTGTATAAAAGCCATGTCCTTCCCGAGACACATCCTTGGCCCGGCGTGAAAAACCGGATACCTAAACGGGCTTTCTTGTCTGCACACACCATTCTCGATCCACCTCTCGGGCTTATACTCGCAACAATCCTTCCCCCAAACACTCTCCATCCTTCCCATTGTATACGTATCGTACGAAATGAACCAAGCTTTCCCGATAAATGTACCGTCCGGCAAAATATCATCTTTGATGCAAGCTTTCGTGTCGACTGGGACCGGAGGGTATAGCCTCATGGCCTCGGAAATCGCTGCGTGAAGATAGTGCATTTCACGGAGCTCGTCAAAAGTATAATAACTCCCTCCACTTGTCGATTTCCCGTTTAAAACCCGGATATTTTCGAGTTCTTGCAGGATTTTTTGTTCCACGTTCGGTCTTGAAGAGAGCAGCCAGAAGAACCAAGAAAGTGCAGATGAAGTCGTGTCGCGACCAGCTAGGATGAAACTGATCACGATGTCCCTAAGAAAATCGAGTGAATTACTTTTTTCGAGATTCGAATTACTGATAAACCTCGACAGCAAGTCTTCGCCTTTTTTCCCCTTTTTTTTGCCCTCCTCCATTCTAGTTCTTATGATCCTATCGGCAAATTCGTGCACTTTGGCTATGGATACCCGCAGTTTTTTCTCCGAGCCCAGATCGAAAAACTTCTTGATCGAGAAAATACTTGGCAGGGCATACATGAATCGGCCCGAGCTGAGATTCGCAGCCTCATCAAAAGCCCGCATGAACTCGCTGCCTACGGTTCCATCTCCTTCGAGGCAACCCGGGTCGACATCGAAAGCAACTTTACATATGTTGTCGAATGCGAACCTTTCGAGGATGTCCTGAAAATCAAGAACACGGTCGGTTTTCGCCGAACTCTCAAGAACCGGAACTAGCCGGGATTTCAGCTCGAAAACGACGTTCTCCATTACAAAATTACGGAGAGATTTTGTGTTGAACTCGTAGCTTGCTGTCTTTCGCTGGATTTTCCACAGTTCCCCGTCGGAGTTGAAGATGCCTGAAGCAAAAATTCAATGGTAGGTTTTACAGACTACTCGATGAAGACAGTAAAACTTGATTTCTGTATTCGATTTTTTGAACAGATGATCTTCTTTGTTTCCTACTTTATACAAGAATTTACAGGCTACAGCCTACAGCACAAATTTTTTTCACAGAATCGAGTAATACGACGACGTAAATGTACCTGTTCCAAGGAAATCCTGCAAAAGGAACCTAAAGCGGGCGCCTTTAGGGAAGTTGTCGAAGTGGGACTTGAGCATGTGCTCGACGATTAGAGGGTTGGCGGTGATGACGCCGTGGATTTTTCCGGGGCGGCGGAAAACGGCGGTGTTGGTGGGGCAGCGGGCTAGCACCCCGGTGGTCCACTCGAGGAAGCGGTGGCGATTGCGGATGAAATCGGGGAGGGTGCCGAGGAGCGGGTAGGTTCTGAAGCCGTGCGAGGCGCCGCCGGAGATTTTGTTGGGTTTACGGCGGAGGAGGAAGATGAGGAGGTAGAGTGAGGCGAACGAGATGAAGACGGTGGTTTGGAGAGAGAAAGTGAGCTCCATTTCTTGATTTTTGTTTGGTTTTCTTTTCCCTCTTTTTGGGCGTCGTTTTGTGGGTGAAGGATTGGATGAGAACTAAAGCGGTATCAGATACAGAGTTGGCGTAAGGACGATATTTCACACTTTCTGTATGTTATTAATGGCAGATGCTAGCTAACCATAGGAGTTTGTAACTGTTAGATCAACTATCTTCGACGATTACACGATAATCTAACGGTTATAAATTCAGACGAAATAATTTCATAACGAGAACATAGCATCTCCCGTTATTAATTTGCTACTTACTAGCACGTATCTCCTTCTATGCATCATTAAAATATATCCACTGGTTTATAAATTTAAAATATTGAATCAAACATATAATATAATTTATCTATATTAATTTATTAAAAATATTATACAAAATTTAAATTGTGAAAAACTATGTATAACATGTTTATTTAGAACTAAACACAACACATACGATGCACATAACTAATAATAAATTATATTATATTAATTTCAAAATAAAAGCCATTTTAAATAATATAGAATTAATTTGTAATATAATTTATCTATATTAATTTATTGAAAATATTATATGAAATTTAAAGTGTGAAAATTTACATAAAACATGTCTATATAAAATTAGTACATTTTTTGTGACTGATAAAAAGTTACATTATATTCATTTCAAAATAAGTGTCATTTTCTATTTTTTATTCATTCCAAAATAAGTGACATTTCACATAAAGAAATATTTTTGTTAAAAAATATAACGGGTTGCATACCTAGAGTGCGATTGACTACAAAAAATGGTCGGCTCAATAATATCAGTATAATTAAATATATCAATTATTATGATATATCACATCGACTTTAATTCACTGTTCACTCAGTCACATAGTTTTGACATACATAGATATCATAAGATATATTTTGGGAAAGTAAACCATTTGTTTGTCCACCATTGTTTTTCTCACACTTTTGACTGCACAATAAGTGTATAATTGGTTGGTTGAACATGTTTTTTGCCTCGTGATGACTGCACAATAAAGTAAATTTATTTTGTTAAAATCTCAATTATCTCTTTTTTGGATTTCTTGAAAATTACTATTCTTGTCATTTTTGTACCCAAGTGTGAGAAACGAAAAGTAGGGAAGATGCTACGGCCTCGTCACCATTGTTTTGAAAATCGAACCGGTCATCGAATTGGTAAAGTTACTGGTTCAATGGTTCACTGGTCGAACCAGCGGTCGAACCGGTTTAATTAATATATAATTTTTATTTATTTTATATGTATAATATATAATTATATATATTTTGTATCATTAATTTTATGAATTTTATAGTGTATGACATTTCTCTAAATAATAACTCAATAATAGATACGACTGACAATGTTTTATTTTATTTTTTATATTTCCAATTTTAATAACTCAAAAATAATGTACATTAATTTGCTTCTCTTTTAATAATTTAAAATAGACATAGCCTAGTAGATAGCTCAATTTAAAAAATATTATTTTTTTTTAAAGTACAATATTGCTTATAAGACTCAATATTGGCCCAATAATTTTAGCAAATGAACATATCACACATTAGAAACACAAGTACAAAATGTGTGCTATTTAAATTACTTCATAATAAATTAATTTCAAATTCAAAATTTTGAGCCGTTCGAACCGGTGAACGGTTCAAACTAAACTGGAATGAAGGCCGATTTCCAATCCAACCGGTTGAACCGACCGATCCAGTCCGATTTCCAAAACATTACTTGTTACGGAATCATTCTGTCGGGCCGGGTTTGTAACATTTCCAAAAGTAGGGCCATTCTTTTTCATTTTTTCAACTTAAAGTTAATGATTGTAAAAGAAGAAGTTTATTTATTTATTTACTGAAAACCGATACGTATACTATTTTAAACAGTCTGATATCGACAACTGTACCAAAATAAAGTAAAACCTTTTGGTATCATATTTTTCAAAATGGGACCAATTCAGTACTATATATCCGGTTCATGGAAAATTCGATTTTCTTGCAAACATAATATCAAATTTGATTTTATTCCACTAGAAGGCTATTTGGATCTCCAAATAAGTTGGGGCATTTGGGCTCCTTATTTGGATACATATAATTGTCAATGGGTCATTACTATAATAATGTATTGGGCCAATAATATGTATAGGCTCATCTTGGTAACACCTTCATAATATCAAATTTGACTGACTATGTGATCCAATTGCATGGCTATTGCCAAAGACGGATGTACATGGGGCCCAGGGGTGGCCGTGGCCCCCCCTCACTTTTTTTTAAAAGAAATAATATATATATATTATATATATATTAAAATTATCATTAGTGTAAAATACACCAAATAAAACATTAAAAAAATGCTAAAATAAAAATGGCTTGAGATTAGTCATTAGTGTAAATATTAGTGCGTACGTGTCCACCTTTCGTAAAAAAAATGTTCTTTCTACCAAAAAACGTCCCAATACTTAAAGAAGTATGGCCAATTATTATATTAATTATTATTATATTTATTAAGTGTAAAATGATTTTTTTTTTACTATATTAAGTAAATATCAAATCTTTTTTATACATATACAGAAATACTATAAAATGTGAAGAAATGTAAAAATTATATACAATATATTATAATTAAAACCTATTAAATATAAATATATATATAAGAAAAATATTATAAAATATGTATAGAAATGTAAAAAATATTTATAATATATTAATAATTAAAATATGTATAGAAATGTAAAAAATATTTATAATATATTAATAATTAAAACTTATTTCTTATGTTATTTTTATTTACATTAATGATACTATTTATTTATTGAAAAATGTAACAGCAATCCTCATGTTTTAAATTTTTAGATACAATTATGAAAATATTTATAATGATTTACTATTCTGGTCTTTTAATTGTAAATTGATTTAGCAATTTATAAAACTGATTATTTATTAATTGGATTTTTACATATTTCAATTTTTTTTTTACTATTTTTTTGGTTTGTAATCACATATTTAATTTTTTTTTAAAAAATTTTTCTTAAATAAAATGTTCATTTGATAAGCTCTCATCAACAAAAATGTTATGCAATTTGATGCAAAAATTCAATTTAAATCAATTTTTCAACCAAAAAACTTATTTTACGTTAAATTATAGATGTTGAATTTAAATTATAAATAAATGAAATCTCATTATTATTATTATTTAAAAAGTTTGAGGGTGATATTGATTCTAAGTTGTTAAAAACTTGATAGTGCACATATCTATATCTATATTTATTGTAAAAATAAATTTTTATATGAAATGAGTGTTTCGACTTAATCTACAAGGTCATTATTTCATTTAAAATTGGGCCCCCCTGAGTAAAATTTCTAGATTCGTCACTGGCTATTGGAATGCCAAACTTGTAATATAATAAATTTTGCTAGTTTGTGCAAAGTATATCAACTTTACATGAAAGGGTGCATTAAAGTACTCTATTTTTTTTTTTATCTAATAATATTTTATATCTTGATTTCTAATCAACCCAAATAAAGGTGAGAGACTAAATGAATTGGGTTATTTAAGCAGCTTACGAAATGCTGAAATATTCGAGTATATATCTATTGTGGATATCTTAGTGAAGGAGGTCGCCGGAAAATTGGAAGCCTTATTATCGGAATTTTTTCGTGAAACTTGGATATGTTGTCGGCACGGAGAAGAGCTACAAGTTCATGTAAAAATTTTCAACATCCGGCGAAGTTGGCCGGCAGCAGGTGGCGGTTGGCGGCGGTCCGACGGGTGAGACACAATTGCAATACTTATTAAAGGTTTGGTATTTTTTGTCAAACTGAAAAAGTTTAATTTTATTTGCAATTACACAAAAGGTTAGGATTTTAAATGCAATTAACCCTATTTTAAATTATTAAATTACAATTTTTATACAAAAATACGACTGTCTAACGGCTAGTCAGAGTAACAACATTTTTTGAATTCGTATTATTGTAATGTTTGTGTGACTGTATCCACAGGGGACTGACACATTATTGCAATTGACCAAATTTGGAAGAGGAAAAGGAAGTATATCAAACTTATCAACTTTATTCATGAAAAAAAAAATGAAAAAAAAAATAAAGAAAATTTTAATTACAGGTGAGGTACACATGGTATTTCTTATTAGATGAACCACAACACAAAAATGAGTCTTGATTCCTTTGCGTGAGGGTATCTATAATCTTCAACAATTACACAAATGGCCCAAAAATTAAGAAAAAAAAAATCATTTATTTACTTGCTCCATTGATGTAAGGAAGGCGTACGATGAGAAGATAAAAGAGATACTCTCTATTGATAATACGCAAAAACAGATTTCTTATTTCATATCAACTGTTCAATAACAAAGCATCAGATCTCTTTAAATAAAGTCCTCACCCTAGTTTATTCTCTAAGCTACTAATTATTAAATAATATTAATTGCTATAATAATAATAATAATAATAATAATAATAATAATGATAATAATAATAATAATAATAATAAATATAATTTTATTATTCTGCACCATCCATTGAATGAGATAATAGAATATAAAGTTTGTGGTGATAAGGTCGTCCTTTGTGAAAGAGAACTCGTGCCATTAAAACAAACAAAAGAACTTTCCATGCTCATTGGAAAGACTAACTCAATTATTGCAATAACTAGTAATAATATACTAATATAATAAAATGATATGGATCATGTCCCATTTTCAAGATTTAAATGTTGAACATTTAACAATAATAACATTTGAAGTTAATTTATCTTTTAATAATTAGATTAAAAAAAAAATCAAGCCTTTGTTAAGTCGCTAACGAAATAACTTTCAATATTATTATCACGATTTTGCTATATATGAAGCCAACAATTCTTTCTATAGTGGAGTCAACCTTCTATATACAACAAATAAACCTACCACATTAATAAAAATATATTAGTGTTATTTAGGTAATCAGAGAATATGATAGGTTTACTTGAT